TCCGCCGAGAACTAAAAAATAAATATTAAAAAAAAAAAAAGAAATTTCTCTTTCTCTCTCTCTCTCTCCTCTCTCACTCTCTCTTTAAAAATAAAATAAAATATTTGCCTTTTAGTTATAGGTGGACACAATAACTTTATTTATTTATTTATTTTTATGTGGTGCTGAGGATCAAACCCAGTGCCTAACGCATGCTAGGCGAGTGCTCTGCCTCTGAGCCATATCCCCAGCCCCATGTGGCTGGTTTTTTAGTAGCCTACCGGCGTGAATGCTTTTATTAAGAGCATCTGTTGGTAATATAACACTCTGAAAACCAGAGCGTGCTGAGGACCGAGCAAGGCTTCGCAGCCACAGCCGCACCTTGAGCTTGCAGCTCCCTGGTCACTAGCTCCTCGACCCTGGAAAGCCCTCGGCAGCTCTACATCTTGAGGAGGCCCCTGGACAGCAGGGTCAGGACCCCCACTCTGAGGGCTGCAGTGAAGACGTAGAGTGTGGCCCCCAGCAGAGCCTGGCTGCAGAAGGGCTCAGGACAGCTCTCCAGTGCGGGTGCAGGTGGCACCTGGCTCCTCCTCCCTGAGTGGCCTCTGGAGGAGCATGCACAACTACTACCTGATGCCATCATGGGCCACCCAGAAGGAAGCACTGAGGGGTGGACTGAGACTTGGCTGGGGTATTCTGGAGGGCAGGCCCAGCGGGGGGCTTTGGCAGAGGCCTGTAGCCTGGTTCCTGCAAGGCCTCCACAAATGGCCACCTCCCGCTTCTGGGCCTGGAAGGTCGTCAGCTTACTGCCTCTGGCCACGCTTGCTGCTGGGTTTGACCTGTTCAGACACACTCTAACCCTTCTCACACAACCACACGTGCACACGTGCACACATCTTGCCACACACACGGCACCTTGCTCACACACACGCACCACAGGTCCTTCCTATGTGCATTGCTGCCCTTGAGGAACAGCACCCCTGGCGCTGCTCCTCTGCCTCAGGGCTCCATGCTGGGCACCAGCTGTGGGGCATGAAGCCCTGCAGCCCCTCTCACAGGGAGGCCGGGACCACATAGTCATGCAACAGATCCCAGGTGCAGTGCTCACAGGGGCTGTGAAGGACTGGCACGCTGGCTCTGAGGGTCTGTGACACATGTGTGGTCCAATCAGGGAGGTCCAGGAAGGCTGCCCAGACGACAGGCACCTCGGCACAGAGCAGAGGGACAGGTGGACATTCACTGAGGAGAGGCAGGGGAGATCATCTTGGGGAGAGCGCAGCGAGAACAGGCAGGTGGTCCTGAGGGGTGGGCCCCCATGTCCTAAGAGCAGTGCCGGGACACTCTGAGTTCTGGAAGGGTGCTCCCAGCTGCAGGGGTGCTGAGGTGGCAGCTGGGCTACAGCAGGGTGAGGAGGGTGCTACCGGCCAGACAGGCTGTGGAGGGGCCAGGGTGGCTCTCTGGTTTCTGTCTAGACAGAGAGGTGGCCTGAGGAGGACATTAGGAGCCTGAGAAGAGCAGCAGCTAAAAGCAAGCTACATGACTGACAAAGCACCTACTATGAGCTCGAGGGTTACCAGGCAAGGGCCTGGAAGTCTCGAGGTGACTACCCAACTCTACAGACCACCCTATATGTCAGTCAAGCGATACCTGACGAGGGTCAGCCAGGTGGATGTGGCCCCAGCCCCACTCTTGTCCTTGTCACCAGCCCAAGCAGATCCCCAGGTCTGGCCTTACTCCAGAAGAACTGGGTCCCTGGGCCTCTGGCCAGTGCCTACTGAAACAGCTGCCGCCTCCCCTCTGTGAGGACGTGGCTCTGCCTCTCGAGGCCACAGAGGACATGGAGGGGTTCGGTCCCAATGACAGGAGTGACAGCAGCAGAGTGGGTTCCAGATTCTACGATACCTCCCTGTCCAACTACAGAGATGAGGCTGCCAGGCAAGGAACCTGCCCAAAGCCTCGTCCCCGGGTCCCGGTCCCCATCTCCTCAGGAGCCAGCTTGGTTTAGGCCTATTGGTCTGAGGGGACAGACATACCAGACCCAGGCCCTCCGCCTCCTCCCCTGCCACACCCTCTGTCTCATGTCTCCAGGGGCCAGGGTGGGGGCAGGGACAGCCCAGGCCACTCTCCCAGAATCATGTGGATTCCCTTCCAATAAACTCACTTTCAGAATTTCCTGGTGATTCTCCGAGGCGTACAGCCGCCCGTCACGCACGATGTCTTCTATCAGCTGCTGGTAGTCCTCTGGGAAGCGGGTCAGCAAGGGAGGGGAAGGCCCGAACTTGAGACCCTCACATCCCTGCCTCTGCCCTCCCCGGCTCCAGCCTCGGGTTGTCGGCGAGTGCTGGATGCTGCCCCTGGCCTTCGCATCGGGTCCCTTCCTGTACTGTCATGGCGGCTTGGCTGCCCTGGTTAGCCTTGTCCTCCCGTGGGCAGTGCCTCCACCTCCGCCTGCAGACAGCAGTGTCCTCATCTGCACCCCCACACCCTGAGGCCTGTCTGCAGCGGGGCCCCTGGGGCATGCTGGTCCTGGGTCTGTGCCCTGCCAGAGGCTGGGGCGTGAGGCTGTCTCCACTCCTGGTACCCAGCGGGCCGTGATGAGCGGTGCCTTACCATCGTAGGTGACATAGGGCACTTGGAACCCTTTGCCACTGTTGCCTTCGTTGGACTTGAACTGGATCCAGAGCTTCCGGGAGCGGGAGGTGAAGGCGATGGGCCTCTCATAGGTCTGGCAGGTCTCGTAGGTGGTGATGGATGCGGGCGAGGCTGGGGGAGACGCCCTCACTGAGGTGCCCCGAGCCAGGCTCCTCACTGACCCTTCCTCCTGCTATAGGTTGCTTACCTCCCCAACCCAGCTGGCTGCCAGGGCCCTAGTGCCCATTGCCCAAATGCACCCTCTAGATTCGTCTGGTTCCCTCTGCCCTTCGCTGCCCTCTGCCCCTGGAGTTCTGGTGGACCCCTGCATGCAGCCCCCTGTGCTGGGGCTCTGTCTTCCTCCAGCCAATTGCTCCCCCGTGACAGGGCTCACGCCTGTGCCCAGCAGTCAGGGATGGGGGGTGCACCCAGGCAGGCCATGGGAGAGGAGCCGGGGGCTCCTGTGAGTGAACAAGGAGGGGTGGACCTGCTATCCCCTGGGGTGCCCACTTCCTCACTGCTCCCTGGGTATTCTTCCTGAGGTGCCCCTGATACAGGAGAGGCTGCCCCTGGAGCTCAGCCCTGTGGGTGGACAGGGGAAAGAAGGATGTGGGTGGGGCCCTGGGGCTGGTGATGGGAATGGGTGGAGCAGGTGGTTCCTGGCTGGGCTCTGACCTGCTCAGGGACCCTGGGCAGGCCCCTTGCCCTTTCTGGCACAGCCCCACTTGCGTATTAGGGCGGTCAGACTCATGACAGGAGCAGGCAGTGTGTGCGTGGTGCTAAAGCTCACACAGAACGTGGCACTGAGCAAAATCCCCGGCTCCCTCCTCGTCCTCCTTCGCCTCTTGTGGCCTGCCTCTATGACCAGAGATAGTCAGGCCTGGATAAGGGCGTGCTCTGTGCCTGTGTGGGTTCCTGGCCTTTCTCCCTGGCCCTACGGCCTTCTGCCTTTCTCCCTGGCCCTGCGGCCTTCTGCTGGCCTCTGCACAGCCCAGCTCTGGCAGCCGGATCCCAGTGGGTCCCCATCTGCCTCCCGGAACCCCAAGTGACCTGTTCTCAGAGCCTGGGCCCTCCTTCCTGTTCCTGGTGAGGCTGTACTAGGGTGGGCGTGAACGTGGACTGAGGCTGTGTGGCCCTGCCATCCCCATCCCGAGGCCAGTACCTACCACTCTTCCTCATGACCAGGACATCACCGCACTCATCCTCGATGGGCAGGAAGATCTCGGGGACCACAATGAGGATCCTGCGCTTGGGGGGCGGTGCGATGTGCCACACGCACTCAGCATTGGCCGGGTAGTCTCCAGGGTAGTTGGGGGACTCTATGTAGCCCGTGTAGTCACCAAGCTCACCACCACAGTGCTGGTCTGTGGGTACCATGGCCACAGGGCCTGGTCAGGCTTGGCCTGCTGGGTGTCTTGGCCTCCTGGGCCCTCAGGCAAGTGTTCCTGTCCCCTCCTCTGCCCAGCCTCCACCCAGTCCTCCTGTGTCAGCTGCCAGGCCCTGAGCTGACCTCTAGTGGGAGCCCTGCCTGGGCTATCCCCTCGGCTAGAGGGCAGGTCCCCAGTTACTCTTGTAGGTTCTCTGAGCCCCAGCCCGAGCAGATACCTAGGGGGCTGACCCGCCTGGCCAGGCCCATCCTGTTTCTGTGTCTGGGCCTGATCATGTCACTGGCCACTCAGACGGGCCGTTTTGTGCCCCTGGAGACTGGCAGCCCCCCTTGGCTGGCCCAGCCAGGTCTAGGTATGAATGTAAAGGGAGGCCCCCGGGCACCTCTCTCTGGTTATTCACCTGGTGAGCCTCACTGAGCATGCCAGTGCCACACGGTCTCCCTCCTCACAGAGCAGGAGGAACAAGCGGTCCACACAGGGAGGAAAGGAAACGTGTTCCTTCTGTTTCCTTTTTAATTACACTGTAAATCCTTGAAGAAGCTGAACCTGACATTTTTATGAGCCAAATTGTTCCTAGCCTTTAATTAATAAGGAAATGGCCTTAGCTCTGTAAAAAGAACTGAAAGTAAATATTAAATGTTTATAAAATTCCTTTGCATTCTCATTTAAAATTTTTTCTCACTTCAAAACCTCTGGGGAACATTTCATTTCCCTACCAGCATTCCAGAAGTTTCCCTCTCTCCTGGCTTCACCGTGTTCACCTATGGGGATGTTTAAGCCCTGCCTCTGCAAAGCTCCTCCTCTGACTTGCTCTTCAGCCTGGGAAGCCTGGACGGAGGCCACTGCCACCTCTAGCTAACCCCTTCACAGGCTTTCAGGCAGTTCCCAACGTGGCCGGAGGGACAATGAACTAAAACTGACCAGGAGAGGGGAAAACCAGAAACTCTGAAAAAATAAATTTAAAATACTTAAAATGATATGGTGTCCTTTTCGTTGCCCCCAAAGACCTACTGGGCGAGGGGCTGGCAGGAGCCCCTCTTTTCCCGGACTGTCTAAGATGACCACTTTTCTCTGACTTGAGACTCTTGGGCACCACGAAGCCTGTATGGCCCTCCTCCAGCCCTTTCATGCCTGTCCACACCTAGGTCCCCGAGTCCTGCTGCTCTCAGGCTTCAGCTGGGTGTCCACTTGGCCTAAGAGGCACAAGCCTTTGGGGCTGCAGGGCTGGCACTTGCCTGCTGTCTCAACTACCTTGCAGCTGCCCCTTAACATGGGTTTCTTTCTCCCCAGGACCCAGAAATCAGAGCAGGGCCTGGCTTGGGCCGAGACTTGGGCTATGGCTGGTGAGTAGAGGGAACTGGTAAACTTCGGTGCCACCATACTGCTTGCAGAGAGGGCTAAGCCAGGGCCTCCCCTCCTTGCCACTGAGCTCAAGAAGGACGTAGGGTTCACAAAGGCACCCCTGTCCCCCAGTAGAGGTGGCAGACAGGAAACAGCACCCTCAGTCAGGCAGTGGGAGATCAGCTATCGCCCTGCCTCCATGACCTCCCGGGCCCCGCCCAGCACCCCTGCTCCCTGGAGAGGGAAGAGAGGCACCTACTTTTGCAGTGTGTGACGTTGGTGGAGCCATCGAAGTCCGTGCTGGTGTTGCCTGGACAGGTGACGCAGTGGTTCTGGCCAAACTCAGGCTGGTAGGTGCCCACAGGACAGCGGATGCACCGGTGTGTGGTGGTGTTGTAGTGGTGGCCAGGGGAGCAGTGCACTGCAGAGACATGTGGCAGGGGTGCTAGTGGCAAGGCCAGGCCTCCCCTGCTCCTGGGGTGCGGCTCAGACAGAGCTCAAGGCCCTCTCCCACCCAGTGCCGCCTCTTTACCATGAGGGGACAGGTGGGAGGACACGGCCAGGACTGAATGGCTTGGGAGGGGCCCATGTCAGACACAGACTGAGGACACCCATGGGCTCCAGCAACACAGGGACGTGTAGGCCACTGTGAAGGGAGCAACTTTTGGGGAGACGTGGGGTAACAGTGTGACTGAAGGGGTTCAGGGCAGAAGCCAGAAGAGGAAGGGGAGGGAGCAAGGATGTACCTTGTCATTCCACAGGTGAGGGCACAGGGAGGAAGGGGAGGCCAGAGGGCAGGGCCCAGGGGAGAAGCTGCTCCTCAGAACAGCAGGGCCCCAGAGGGGACCATCTGGATATATGGCAGACTCTGTGGGACTGGGATTGAGCCCCGGGCCACCGGCCTGTGCTGGCAGCACAGATACCTGACAGATATGAGGGGGCTTGAGGAACAGGAAGCAGGCTCCTCTGCTGGGGGGACAGGCAGGCTGGACAAAGGAGGGGAGCGGCGGACACCCAGCAGGGTGGCCCTGAAGGGGCTGGTGAAGGTGTCTGCTCTGGTCCAGCCCCTGCCACCTCCTGGTCCTCCCATCTTCCTTCCAGACATGGCTCACAGGTTCCCAGAAGCCTCCCAGTGCCCGAGGTGCTGGTGCTCAGCAGGCTCGCAACCTGTTCTAATCATGGCACTGTGCTCGTCACCATGTCCATGCCTGGTGGCTCCAGGCTACTCCTCTGATTCGGCCATGCCAAGGAGGTGAGGGCTTCTGGGGAAAGTGTCCCTGAGCAGTGCAGCGGGGGCGTGGGGCCTGCTCACCTTTGGCCTCGCAGTCCTGGAAGGAGGTGGCACCCTCCAGCTTGGTGAGCAGCCCCCCTCCACAGGGGAAGCAGCTGGTGCGCCCAGGCTCAGGCTGGTACGTGCCCATGGGGCAGGCCTGGCAGGGCTGGAAGCCGTCTGCTGAGAAGAAGCCTGGAGAGCACTGGCCTGGAAGTCAGAGGTCGAGGCTCAGGTGGGAGGGCGCTACTGGGGCTGGGCCGCGAGTGGCCCAAGGCCCTGATCTTGATCTCGCTTACCCCAGGAGAAGGCACCTGGGTTGGGGTAGGGGACAGCACGACAGCCCTGGTGGCGGGAGGCTTGGTCTGGATGCTGGCAGCATTCCGGTGTGGTCTGCCAGGCCACCTTTGCTTCTCCCACAGCAGGAAGGGCTGGGGGCAAAAGGGCAGTGACCCTGCTGAGCTGGGAAGTGGGAACCCCAGGTGAGGGGGGTTCTTTCAAAGGCCTCTCCCCAGGGGGCAGGCCTCATGTCTCATGTGTCCTCCTGGCCCAGATCCTAACCAAGTGATGAACCTCCCACCTGTGGCCACCTTGTGCTCTGAGTCACTACCCGCCAGGTGGGGGCACCACCCTTCTGGAGGGGCAGTGAGCCAGAGCAGCTGGCAGCCTGCAGAGCCTTGGGCTAGGACTTAGGCTGTTCTGACCCTGAGAGAAGGCAGAGGTCTCCACTCCCCTGAGTGTCCACTCGCCCACCCTCACGGCACTGCCTTGTCATGTGCATGCTTTTCTTGCATACCCTCCAGCTGAGCCCAGGAGAGACCAACTGGGAGACTGACTTGTTGCATAAACGGGGCCAAGTGGGGGTGGCCAATGGAGACCATCTCCACAAACCAACGGCACTGGCTAAGTAAAAAGTGCCATCTCAATCAGCTTAGGGTAAGGTTTAGCACTCTTTGTGCAAAGTCCCTGCTCACAAAAGTACGTGGTTCACTTGGTGACTTGTGGATGACTGTCCCCAGGAGGCCCAGTGCTGGGTCAACCATAAAGCACTTAGGTTGTCCCTTTATGACCACACCTCGTCTGTGAGGACAACATGTCTGCACACTAGCGTGCTCTGTGGGCTACACGGTGCAGTGATGTGGCGTGCAGAGCTCAGGACTCCGGGGGCCTCCAGGAGCGGACCCCGCATAGCCCCATGTCCTTCGTGGGGGTACCTGTGTGGAAACTGAGCCACTCTGGGATGGCAATGAACTGCAGCCAATGCCAGACTCTGGCCGCACATGGCAGCCACCTTTGCTTTGGGAGCCTCAGGAGGCAGGAGGGCCCTGCCTGTGCCCCTCCCCACCAGCCCCCCTTCCACATGGGCCTGCACTTGCCTCCACATTCAGATACGTTGTGGGCACCAGCCAGACCGAGCCCGTCACTGCTGGGACATGGTGTGCAGCTGAGCTGGCCTTCCATGTCCTGGTAGGTCCCCGACACACACAGCACACACTGGCCCTGCTCGCCGCTGAAGTAGGTGCCAGGCCCACAGGTCACTGCAGAGGCAGAGTGGAGAGGCTGCTGGGGGACAGCGGCAGAGGGCTGGGGCCGCCCTCCCCTAGCAGACTGGCATGGCCCAGCGGGGCCCAGCCTCATCCCAGAGGAGCTGGGGACAGGATCTGGGGGGCAGCCATCTACGAGGACCCTTGAAGCCCTGGTCTCCTCTCCCCGAGGAGGCCCCTCCACAGTGCTCCACAGGCCCCTGCAGCCCTGCTCTTTCTCCCCTCCATGTCCTGTCCTCCACCCACTTAACCTGTCACTAGCTGCCTCCTGGGGCTCTTCAGCTGGGCACCCCAGCCAAGCTCCCAGTCTCTCCTTTTCCTGCTGCAGGAGGATCTGGCCCTAAGGATGGGCAGCGTGGAGCCTTGAAAACTGCACACGGGCATGGGCCAGGGGCCTGGGCAGAGGCTAAAGGGACAATGCAGAGAGCACAGAGAGAAGGACAGTCTACGTGATGGGCAGTGTTGGGCCAGCAGGAAAATGTGAGAAAATAGGGAAACTGAAGCGGGTAAGTTGAGGGGAAAGGAAGCCATGTCTCCACAGCTGAGAGGTGTTCCCACACAGGCTGTGAGGGACGGAGAGAGCCCGGGGCTTCAACGGGCGGACTGCACAACGTGAGGTGTTCTCTCAGACACACACCTGTGGAGGTGCCGGGGCGACATGCCCACACTTTCCAGTGCCCTCATGGGAGGGCCTGTGGCACTGCTGCTCCCTCAGCAATGAGCGCTCTAGGGGCTGGTCTCTGCATGTCCCTCTCCTCTCACAGGAGCTGGGGATTTGGCTGGTTCCAGGCTCAGGCAGGGAGGTACAAATGAAGTCCCACACATCTTGTGACACGATTAAAAGGATGGGAGGCCTCACAGAGTGACGGGGGCCAGTCAGAAGGACATGGGGGCCAGTTTAGGGGTGCTCAGTGCATAATGGGGACAGTCTAAGCATTAGCACTGACCTAAGTGGTGCTGGAAGGGATTACAACTCAGTGTGGACTAGGGCACTCTCTGGGCCCCTGCTGACAGACACACAGACAGGGCAGGGCAGAGCTCTTCCTTACTGGAGACTCTAACTCTGAAACGCAGACAGGACAGCCCAGCGGCAGCCACCACCAGGTGGGAGATTTGCTGGGAATCACAGGAAGCTGGGGATGATGGAGTCAAAGGAGGATCAGGAATCAACTCAGCCACTCCTCAGCCACCAGAGAGGAGCTGAGGCCTCTCTGTACCTGCTGACAGGCAGGACAGCTGGCCTCGGGGCTGTGGTTGTCCTGCAGACACAGGCCTCCAGCTGGTGAGGAACAGCGGTGGGCCTACTGAACAAGGGTGTGCCTGGGCCCAGAGAGGCCAGCAAGGGGGCTGCCCCAGACCTCAGGGGCCTGAAGAAGCACAACAGGAGAGTGACACTCATTCCTGGTAAGAGCTAGGACAAGAGAGAAGAGGGACACTGTTGGAAGGATGGCGGAGTTGCAATGGGGTGCATGAGCTGGATGGGGAACCCTACACCCCACCCTTTCGCAAATGCTGAAAAATGTTCCCAGTTGGGGACTTGGGTGAGGGAAAATGGAAGTTTCTGTTGTGCTTTCTGAAAGCTGGAAATGATTTCCAAGTAAGTTGTTCCAAATAAGAGAGTGATGTCACCGAGCCCCTGGTCTGTGTCCCATGTCAGAGCAGTTCTGCCCACTGCAGTCTGGGTCAAAGTCCCTGCGACAGCTGCACACCTGCCACCCGCTTCCCAGCAGCACCCTGGCCCAGCCTGTTCTCTGGGCTTCGGATCTGTGGTCCGATTGTCTACTCACCCTGCCCCAGATGGGCCTATCGGACCCCTTAACCCTGGGGCGAGTACCCACCTGCAGATGGGGAGACTGAGGATCTGAGAGGCCTGATCTGCCCAAGGCCATGAAGCAGATATGAGTACAGGCCAGGCCTCTGGACGGCTCAAGGGCACCCTGTAGCGGGAACTCTCTACCTCCCCAACCACCCTCTGTAAGTATCCCAAATCTACAGTGAGTACCTGAGTGGCCGTGCCCTGGAGTCACCCCGGAAGTCTCTCTGCCCAACCCCACCCGCCAGAGCACTCCTGGAATTGTCTGACTCTTCATTTGCCCCGCCCTGGTTCCAGGACCCCCACCCCTACATGGCCTCCTCTTCCCCCATCCACCCTCCTTCCAATCAGCCTTCCTGTCACAGAGAGTGGACCCGGATGTCCCTCCCTAGCGCATCCCAGCAGAACCCAGAACTGTGTCTATGGCTGCCTCATGTGCCTGTGGGTGGGCTGATTTGCTCACAGCCTACTTCCCCACAAGAACAGGACAACTTCTGCTTGCCACGGCTTGGTCCCCAGTGCCGTCTCTGACTTCACCCCTCGTCACAAGCCATCCCCAAGGTGTGGTCACCTGCCCTGGCTGGCTGGCCTCCAGGCTCCCCGACAAAGCCCACGGGGGCTAGGGCTGGCCTCCCCATTCCCTGCAGACCACCCCTTAGTGGTGCTGGGCACTGTGGCCATCACACTCCGCCCTCCCTGACCCTGACTCAGCTTCCTGGCTTCTTGTCAACCCCGGGGCCTCAGTTCACCCTTCTCTGGGAAGCCTTTAAGACGACCAGACAGGAGGGGCCTTTCTGGTCACTGCAGCGTGGCCTTGCGTCATGTTCTGTCCCCGTCTGTGCCCTGTCCCTCAGGACTGTGGTGAGGATGGCAGGCACCAGGGAGTGCACTTTAAATGACAGAGATGATTCGAGGGCCACGACTCTCCAGGGCAGGCCTCTGCATCCTGTCCCCCCACGAGTCTGTCTCCCGTGTGCTCACAGGGGTTCGCTTGGGCTGCACATACAAGGAAGTTGGTGGCTGAGTGGCCATGGGCAGAGACTCACCACATTTGCCGTCCTGGAGCACCTGGCCAGTGGCACACGTCCCTAGCCCCTCCAGGGCCTTGGCTGAGCGCTGGGCCACCTCGTACTCAGTGCCTGAGATCTGCACGTAGAACTGCTGTCGGTTGATGGACTTGCGCAGGGTTTTGATGGCGGCCTGCAGACTCTGCTCGGCTCGCTTCCGCACACAATCGGCTTCACAGGTATCTGGTGGGAGAGACGGCGTGAGAGAGTAATGCGGCCAGGTGAGCCTCCACCTTCTCCAGAAGGCCCCCTGTGCCAGGCCCTGCCCCGGGTGGGCCTGTCGGACCCCTCAGCCATCTGCACAGCAGCCCTGGGGCAAGTCCCCGCAGGCAGATGGGGAGACTGAGGATCTGCCCAAGGCCATGATTCAGATATGAGCACAGACCAGGCCTGTGTCTGCTGCCACATATCATCCAGGGCACCACTCACTGGGTGGGAGCTCAGACACTCTTGAGGACTGTGACTGAGCCCAGAGCAGTGTCCAACTCTCTGTCTTGAATCCAGGGTGCCCCGAGGTCTGGCTCCGCCCACCTTGCCAGCCTCAGCCCCAACGCCCAACACTGTGAGTGCCGCCTCCAGCTGCCCTGCCTTCCTCTCACACCCTACCCTCCGACCTCTCTGCCTTTGTCCATTCTATACCCTCTGCCTGAATGCCTTTCCTTGCCACCTCTTCTACCCTATTAACTTTTTTTGGTTTGTTTTGTTTTGGTACTGGGGATTGAACCCAGCGGTGCTTTACTATTGAGCCACATCCCAGTCCTTTTTATTTTGGATTTTGAGACACAGTCTCACTAAGTTGCTAAGGGTCTTGCTAAGTTGCTGAGGCTGGCCTCAAACTTGTAATCCTCCTACCTCAACCTCCTGAGTCACTGGGATTACAAGTATGCATTAAAACTTTGATTTTAAACTGATTCAAATTTAAATGTCACCTTTCCCGAAAGCCTTCCTAAGCCCTGCACTTGGGAGTCACCTTAGCTCCACACCCTGCTTGTTCCCATACCCCCACTACTCAGGGTGTCACCTGGCTCTGGGCAGCTAATAGGCCTGTCTGCCTCCCTGCAGCTGGGAGCACTGCCAGGGCAGGGGCCATGGCTGGTCTCTTTTTCCAAGGTGTCTACGCCCAGGTCAGGCATACACTGAATACATTTGCTGACCACTCTCACCTCCTTGGCCTCAGTCCAACACCAAGAGGAACATGCTGGTGTGAAGCAGCCAGCACCACCAGCCTCTCAGGAAGCTGGGAGTCAGTCCATGGCGTGACCATTCTGGGGGCTGCACACATTTCCCCTTCCAGCCCCAGCCAGGGTGGGAGGGTGGGAGTGTGGCCTTCTGCCTCCGGGGCTCTCTGAGCCTCCTCTTCCATGCTGGACAGGGCCTTCCCCCTGCCAGCCTCTCACCAGCCTCTGCCACCTGTGGTCCTGGCTTGGGGGTGGAGGACCCCCATCCTGCCCTGCAGCTGCTCCTCAGGACCTTGCAGCCATCAGAGAACTCTTCACCCACCTGAGGCCTCTTCCATCTTTATCTCCACCTCAAACTCTGCAGTGACATGGGACACCTCCTTGGATGGGGACTTGCGGCCGCGGCGTCTCTTCTTGGAGGAGTCGCACTTGAGGGTCAGGAACGTCACATGGCAGTTTTCTGACAAGGATGGGAACACTATGGCAATCCCAGCCCTGTGCACAGACTGCATTGGATTGCCCCTTGCAGGGCCCTCCATGCCCAATAGCAGGGACAGATGGGAAGCGGAGCTGCAGCAGGCCAGGCTGCTGGGGCCTCATGCAGGAACCAGCCCTCTGAGCCACCACAGCGCCGCCAGAGGAGGCGCCCTTCCTGCACTGGCCAAGCTGCTGCACCTGATCAGGCCGCTGATGGTTTGGCCAGTGCCCCCAGTCAGGCCTGTCAATGCAGAGCATTTAGACCAGTTTCAGAAGGAGTCTCGTGGGACCAGAGCTGGAAGCTCCCGGCTGGGCCCTTCTTGGAAAGCTTGTTCTCTGCTAGCCCTCAACCTGGAAGTCCTTCTTGGTCACACTCTCTCGAGAAAGAACTGCTGAGTAAAACTGCAGCTCCTTCAATTAGGAACAACCAGGCTACGTAGAAAGGCCTTGCTGGGTGCATGTGTCACTTAACCCTGGTGTGGCAGAGACAGTGGCCCCCCAGGATGCTGATCACCCATTTCCCACTCAATGTCAGGGGCCAGGGGTGGGGGCGGCAAGGTGGAGGGGCACAGATGGGATGCTTAGAAATCCAGTCTGCTGGACTCTGGGCCCCAGTCCCAGGCTTGGGGGTTCCTCCACCACCCCTGGGTCACCTACTCACCCAGCAGTGGTTGCCGTGGGGTCTCCTTTGCTCGCTCCCGACTACGGGGCCGGAGGTGGCATTTGGCATCTCTGATCTTGAAGCGGGCCTTCTGCTTGATGGGGGCACTGGGGGCATCTGGAAAAAGCCAAGATCCTCTCCTATGGCAAGGAAGTGGTGGGCACGGGGACTGCCACAGAATGAGTCTACCTGGGGTTGGGGTGGGGCTGGGTGTGGGCAACTCTGTCCCATGGCCCTCCCAGGGCAGGGGAACCTCCCCTGCCCCACTCCCTCCTCTCCCTGCAAGGCCCGAAAGGTGAACTCAGGGACAGTGGGTTGAGCTCAAGCCCAGGGGCATCTGGCCAGAGTCTTCTGTAGAGGGGAAGGAGTCCCAGCCTCCGCCGGTCTCATGGCCAAGGCCCGAGTTGTGGCTGGAGACTTTAGAAAACAGGCAGAAGGGAAGAGGGGAGCAAGAAAAGGAAATACCATGGAGGCCAGAACTGCAGAGTCCTTCAGAGAGCAGATCCCAGCTCTCTGGACTCGAGACCTGCGCTCCAACAGGCTCCGAATCATACCTTTTACACCCTCTGCACACCTGAGTATGCCCCCGCCACTCTGACAGCAGGGATCAAAAAAGCGCTGGGGATACCCTCTCCCATGCTGAACAGAGGCTGCTGGGCAGGGCTGGTCCCAAGGGAGGGAGCACGCTGTGCCTGGCACCCCTCAGGCAGCGTTTGAGGCGGGGCTGCCCACCGAGTCATTCAGGAGAGGCCACACACTCCCCGAAATCAGAGCCTGAGATCTGTACACACAGAAGCACTTTGAAGTCACTCAGCTACTGCTACTACGACCTCAGATCCAAAAATCCAGTGCCCCTGGGCTGGAACTCAACCTTCAAGCTGCTGGCATCTAGGTCCAGCCTGCCTTGTCTCCAGTACCCTGAGCCAGGCCTGGAAGGACCCAGACTGGGACACTCTCCCCTGGGACTGTGTCCCTCCCTCCCCACGTCCCTCTCCACATACCAGAGAGTCAAGGGGCCACCTAGGTGTGCAAAGTGTGGACAGTCAGGGGCTACCTGAGCAGCCAGGTCCGGTGCCAGAGCTGGTGCCATTGCGTTTCGGTAGTGTCCTGCCCTGGAGACCCGGAACACCACAGCTCAGGACGTAGCTGTTTTCTGAGTCTGTGGAGAGGCCAGTGGGTGAGGTGGGCCTGCCTGGCTGCACCTCCCTTCCAGGGCCTCAGATTCTCGAGGCCTCCAAGAGGTTGCTGAACAAGAAGGTCAGGACTGACCGCTAAGTCAGTCTATTTCTGCCACATGCACACAGGTAAGTGGCCAGGCAGGAAGAAGCCTAGACCTAGGGAGGCCCAAACAGTTGCCCAGGGGCACTGCGACCAGGGCCCCCTCATCCCTGGTGGGGCTGTTTCCAAGAGAGTTGCAGAGATCAGGACCTTGACCCAAGGAAGAAGCCCCCCACCAGTACATCCCTTCCCTGGGACCACCTGGGTTACCTGGCACGAAGAGGGTGTGGGCTGGGCAGGAAAGAAGGCAGCTCTCCACACTGCCCACCTTGCTGCAGGACAGATGGGCCTGGGCAGAGGCCTGGGCTCGGGAAAGGCACCTGCCCGTCTCTGAGGAGAAGGAAGACAGAGAGGGCCTGAGAGGCCAGGGTGGACGCTTCCTAAGGCTGACAGGGCCCCGAGCAGGGGTCTTCCAAAGCCCTTCCTCACAGGGCCAGACTGTCTTGGTGGGAAGGAGCTCAGAGGTGGCAGTGTCCAGTTCCATTTGGCCAGGTTGGACGCTAGCCCCAGAGAGCTGACCTAGTGCATCAGACACTGGTTCCAGCTGTCTGTGAGGTGGCTCACACCCATTCCCAGAGGAAGTTTCCGGGGACAGGGATGGGCCCTCAGGACAGTGCCTGTCTGGGGAGAGGGGCAGCTGCAAATGAACATGGGCTTCCTGGCCTGGAGGCACAGGATGGGGCAGCCCAACACACCCCTGGGATGTCTAAAGATGTCCACAGCAGCTCTTCATAACTTCCTGAGGGTTTGTTTGAAAAAGTCCCCAGATTCCTAGGAAAAGACTGGTAGTTCCAAGGCACCCTCAATATCAGAACTGATCTGGCAGACATCTCATGGTGAGTGACAAGTGGCCCTGAAAGCCAGATCATAAAAGCGTCCCACAGTGAGTCAGTCACCAGATAGAGACACATGCTCTCTGCAGCTGGCACAGGCCCTGCTCATAAGACTCACCGACCTGATCCTGATCCTGCCAAATCTGGCTTTCCCCTCGGGACACTCAGCATCTTGCTGGAAATGCAGCCCTGGCTTGCTTCAGCAGTCAGTTCTGTCTGCCTGTTTAAGGTGCCAATGGTGATCTCCTGCTTTGGCAATTATGGAGGCTCCTCCCAGATGTCCCCTGGGGTCCTGTGGAGCCTTGGGCCTGCAGATGCCACCCTTCAGAGAGGCTTCTGGGGGAGTGCAGCTCAACCAGGGATGCCTGCTGTGCCTTAAATGCTCACACTTGCTGATGTTGTCACAGAGCTCTGAGTTTCTATTTATTTATTTATTTTTGCACTGCTGGGGATACCCACTGAGCTACAGCCCCAGCCCTCAAAGAGATCTCTTTGGTTTGGAGTGCATGGCTGCCCCATGTCCCCCTGCTTTGTTCTACCTGTCCTGTGCTCCTGGGGGAGGAGACAGAGACGTGGCCCTGCTCTCTTCCACCCCAGTGCAAGGTGGCCCCCAAGGCCAATGGTCAGAGGCATATTCACCAAAGTCGACAAGGTGGGCCTTCCTGATAAGAGCAGCATCCTTACAAATTTAGACTGTAACCCCAACTCTGCTTGGTCAGTAAATGGAATACTGCCCTCTGCTGGCTGCCACAAAACCCAGGCACTACCTCCACACCACCTGGGAGCAACGCGGGTCTTGATGGCGGCTTCTGCCACCTCAGAATGATAAGCTGATGTGCGTAGCAGAAGCTCCAGAAAGGCAGGAGGCAACACCCTCTTTCCATAGTCAGCTCGGCCCCAGCTTCCTCCCCATCTTCTGAATTCCCCTTCTTCCAGCTCCACTTCTGCCAACCCTCCCTCCCTCCCTCTGCTCCGGACCCTGACCTTTTCTCAACAAGCCCTTCTTCCCTAAGGTTTAGCTCAGGAAAGGAAGAACCACACTGTACAGAATTCCACTAGAACAGTTTACCCATAAACCAGAGTTACCATGTTGAAGTTCAAGCGTGGCCACGAGCTGAGTGCTACAAGGGTCAATTAAATTCTGAACCGCAGGAGATGGGCAAGCGTTTGCTTCAGAATGCAGGATTTTTTTTTTTGATAATTATTGGCCTAAGTAATCAGATCTGTGCCCATGACACTAATAATTCATTTAATTATTAGTATCTTGGATTGGAAAAAAAGATGAAAAGCAGCAAACAATAAAGACAAGGGGAAGATTTAAACATCTAGCCTAGGTGAGCATAATCAGAAAAACAGCCTTAAGAGAAGCAGAAAAATAGAGACTACTGCACACAAGGCTGCTTTGGAAGGCTTTCCCTTAAGAAAAAGTTGAATAAAGAAAAAAATTATAAACAAAGTAAATATGACTCAACTGGTGACTTGAAATGCAGACTTTACACTTGCCAATGATATTTTGAGCAGACTCAAAAGCAAAATAAAGGGAGTTTTGTCCTTTCTTTTGCAGATGGGTGTGCCTGAGATAAGGGGGTGAGTTGGGAAATAAGTTGGAATGGGAAATTGCCAATTTAAATAATCCCCAACATGTGACTGAACATTTTTATGTTTGTTTGTTTTGTTTTTTTGGGTACCAGGGATTGAACCCAGAGGTGCTTAACCACTGAGGCACACCTCCAGCCATTTTTAAATTTTCCAGACAGGGTCTTGCTAAGTAGCAAAGGGCCTCACTAACTTTCGGAGGCTGGCCTTGAACTTTGAGCCTCCTGCCTTAGGCTCCTGAGTCGCTGTGATTACAGGCATGCACCACTGTGCCTGGCATGGCTGAATATTTTCAAGGAGTCTGAGAAAGTAAATAATGAAACAAACAAACAAAACCTCTCATGTTCCTCCAAATGAAAACATCTGGTTTCCAAAATGCTCTGTTCCTAAAGAATCCAGAGCCTGGGGATAAGAGCACCTGTGGCTGATGTGAGCACAGGGTCCTGGAATCTTGGCTTGTGGGCACTGTCAGGCTGCACAGTCCACACACAAAGCTGCCCAAGTATCCTGCATGCTCTGCTGGGCTTACAATGGCTTCAAATTCCATGCCCTTTCCCTGGGCCATTTCTTAGCCTTGTGTTTGCAGCCTTTGAAGGATGAGGTATCATAGGCCCCCGTGGGATGCAAATCCCTGCGTGGCACCACTCTCCTGGACCCCTTCCAGTCATTCCTGTAGGACTCGGGGCAGGGGAGCAAACGAGCACCACTCCTGTGTGTGGGCAGTGAGGTCCTTGTGCCTTCCCCAGGAGGCTGTGACCTGTGCCGGCACCCACGAAACAGAAGCCAGCCTGCTGACCCAGCAAGGTCCCAGGCCTGAGTCCACCGCCCACAACCACACTTCGCAGTGCTGCAGAGCATTGAGCCCCTCCGGGACGGTTTGGAGTTGGCTGAAAAGCAAGAGGGAAGTGAAAAGTACTTCAACCTCAAAGTAAGAAGGCCTGTTGGCCTTACAGACAACAGCCTACCTAGATCTAGCCTTTACTGGGATCACTACTCATCCTGTCAATCAGCCTTCCCAAGCTATTGTAGTGTAGCCAATTTGAAAACTGATATAAAGTATGTTCCACAAGCCTGTTAATAATATTTGTCATGGTTTGGATATGACATGTGCCCCAAAAGCTCCTGTTCATTCAGAAATGTTCAGAGGTGAAATGATTGGATTGTGAGAGCTGTAACCTAATCATTCCATCCCAGGGTGAATGGAATGACTGCATGGTAGCTGTAGGCAGGTGGGGTGTGGCTTGAGGAGGAAGGGTGTGTGTGGGGGTGCCCTGGAAGTATGCATCTGACCTGTGGCCCCTTCCCTGTCTCTCCTGCTTCCTGACACTACTACGAGCTGAGCCCCTTTTCTCTGCCTACCCTTCCCCTATGATGTGCTGCCTCACCTTGGGTCCAAAGCAAAGGAGTCAGCTGATTATGGACTGAGACCTCTGAAAACATGAACCCCAAGTAAACTTTTCCTCCTCCAAGTTGTACTTGTTGGGTATTTTGGTCACAGGAACACAAAAATTGACTACAACAGAAATTAATACTGGAAATGGGGCCATTGTTGTGACTAACCTGACACATGATTTTTGAAGACTTTGGACGGGGGTTGGCAGGGGGAATTTTGAAAAGGTTAGAGATGCAAGTTGAAAAGCCTTAGAATGTTGTTAAGTGGAGCTTAATGGGTGATTCTGATGGGAGCTCAGTTAACAGGATTAGCCTTAGGAATGCAGACAGTGAGCATGAAGTTTCAGAGGAAAATGAGGACTCTATGGGAAATGGGACTAGAGGCCACTCATGTGTCAAGGAACTTGGCTACATTTGGCTCATGTCCTGAGACTTTCCTGTGAGGCTGAGTTTAAAGGTGATGGACTAGTTAATCTGGTGGAGAAAATTTCAAGGCAGCACAGCATTCAATCTGTGTCATGAATATTGCTGGCAGCTTTAGCCAGGCTTACTAGGAGAAATGGGAGCAAGAAGCAGGGTTAAAGAATTTTAAAAATTTTAGTTTGGCCAGAAAAGTACATGTAAAACTGGGGCCAAGGAAGGTGCTTATTCAAGAGATTATAGCCACTAAAGACATGCTAAGTACTTTGATTTTTGTCTCAGATGAGAAAAGATGGTGTAAGGGCATCACAGGAATTCACAGGACCACACTCATTGCAGGCTCAAGGGTCTAGAGGAGGAAAATTCCTTTGAGAAGAGATCCAGGGGTGTGTGCTACTCACACAGGGGAGCCTTGGAAGATGTTTTACCAGGCTAAGCTGTGCAGGCACTCAGAGGCTGCTGCAGCCACAATTCCAGGGGCCCAGGTATTGCCTGAGTGATCTTGGCATCATCCACATGTTGCTGGGTCTATAGGAATGCACCATGCTGAAGTTAAGGGGTCACGAAGCTTCCATTGAGATTTTGAAGTAAGGCCTGGGAGGCCATGCAAAGTGTAGCAAGGTTAGAGTCCTTGTGGGCTGCTCCCGAGAGAGTGATGTGTAAAGTGTGAAGGTGAACCTGAAGCTGGAAAGAAGACCTTGACAATTAAGAAATGCCACTAACGTGGACTGTCTGCTGACAAAAGCTACTGGCTGTGTAACAGGCTGAAAGAGAGCCCATGTGCACTGCCAGCAGGCCAAAAGGGTGAAGCTGCCCGAGTCCTTTCGAGAGCATGTTTTATAGCCAAGTGTCCTTGGTGCTGTATGTGGAGTTAGGGGCCCTGTTTGCCCAGTTGGGGTTTTAGTCTTACTTTGGCCCCATCCTTTCTTTTCTTTTCTTTTTTTAAAAATTTTTCTTTTAGTTGTAGATGGACAACTATTTATTTTTATGTGGTGCTGGGGATTGAACCCAGTGCCTCAAGCATGCTAGGCAAGCACTCTACCACTGAGCCACAATCCCAGCCCCATCCCCATCCTTTCTTTCTATGTCCCTGTTCCTTCCTCTTGGAACAGGAATGTTTCCTCTGTGCCACTGTATATTGAATATATGCTGTTCTTGATTTTTTAATGTATATTTTTTAGTTGTTGATGAACCTTTATTTTATTTTATGTGCAGTGCTGAGAATTGAACTCAGTGACTCACACTAGTCAGCAGCTGCCAAGGCGGCTGTCCACCCCCTCTTCCCTTTGTAACAGCAAACCATGCTCCTCAGACTGACATCACCTCTCCCTGCCCTGCAGCCAGTGTTCCCTGCCCCCTACCACTGAGCCACAACCCCAGCCCTGCTTTTGATTTTTATAACATCTCCCAGCAAAAAGAGTTTGATTTTTGTCTCAGATGAGACTTTGGGTAGTGCTAAAATGATTAAGACTATGGGACCCCTGGAGATTGACTACATGCATTTTGCGTTGTGAGATGGACACGAGTTTTTATGGGTACCAGGAGTAGAATGATATGGTTTGGATATGAACTGTTCCCCAAAAGTTCCTAATGCAGAAATGTTAATGCAGGTGAAATGATTGGATTTTAAGAGCCGTAACCTAATCAGTCAGTCCTAGTTTGAATGGCCTGGGTGGTAACTATATGCAGGTGGGACAAGGCTGGAGAACGTGAGTCACTGGGGGAGTGCCCTGAAAGGGTGCATCTGCACTTCAGCCCCTCCCCCATTGCTTCCTGACCCTACCACAAGGCAAGCAGCTTTCTTCTGTGGGCCCTTCCCCCAAGATGTGCTGCCTTACCTTGGCCCAGGCTGGCTATGACCTCTGAGATTGTCAACCCCAAATAAACCTTTCCTCCTCTAGGTTGTTATTGTTGGGTTTTTTTGGTCACAGCAATGCAAAAGCTCACTAAAACAAAACTCTCTGTAGACAATACTTAAAAAGAAGAAAAAGCCCTTAGACTGGGGAGGTGAATTCAGCAATCCCTGACCAGCATCTGAGGGTTTATCACAGCGTCACCCCCAGCTCAGTCACATCTCTTATAGGGTACTGTGGCACACTGATGCCACCCCAGAACCAAGGCTGTCTGTCTTTTGGGGCCATAAGACTATTCCAATGTCTGACCCCTCTACTCTGATACCCTGTATAAACTATGCTTTTTTAACAAGAAATCTGAAGGTATAAACTCTTTCCTAGTGCTGTGAAGAACTATGAGAGAGGGCTGGGGATGTGGCTCAAG